ACTAACTTGTTTATAGTTTGCTTGCCAGAAAAGATGTCTTCTCTGGCTTTGTTTTTTCTTGAGAAAGAGTCAAGTTTGTATTTTGTTCTTTTCTTTTTGCCTATGCTTTCGCTGGTTAGGTCAGCTTGGCGTATCAGTTCTTTGGTGGGTGAAAAGTAGAGAGCACTGGGTTATTGTAATTCATTTTCCAGCTGGGTCTTTTTGTCTTAGGGGTATATATTAAAGTCTCGGGTAGAGGATTATTATTTGTATCTTGAGGGAAGTGAGTATGCGGTTTATGAAGATGTTAGGCTTCCAGGGCTGTGGTTTTGGGAGTATGAGAGAAGTGATAGAGTTTAACATGTTTGCTCAACTGTTGATATGTATATGGCAGAAAAGGCGGGGAAGGTATTCCTGGTTTCTTTTTGTTTTTTTCTCATTATTTTTAACTGATGAAAAGAAGGCCTAAAACACAGGGACATTGTTTGTTTATTTAAATTCAAACAAATAACTAATATTTAAAAGGGGTTTTATCAAGTAAATGAACTCAGTTTTTAACCAAAAAAAAGGAAAAGAAACAGAAAAAAGCCATTTGTTTTACTTCCATTTCACTCTATATCAGAAAGAAAATATATTAACATTCTTCCAGAAATAACAACATAAAGACAGTCTGCTAATGCTATCCTGCTGAACAGATGTCTTTTCAAATCTATTCTCTCTTTTAACAGGATGGGCTGATACCAGATATCTGCCCCAGCCTTATTTCAGCACTGAACTTTACAAATGTTGCCAGAATGCACCTGGCTTACATCCTAAAAAAAAAAAAAAAGACAGATACTTACCAAATTACAGTCGATTGAATGTGCCATTTGTTCAGCTATTAAACTAGTAAGAGCTAGGGACTCTAGTGGGCCAGCAAAATCTCACCATCTTTTACTACACTGTGCTAAAGGAGTTGCTGTCATAAAAGAAGTGAACTTGTGTTCATACATATTTGAGGATGCACTGGAATATTATTTTTTAGAAGAAAAACATATTGAAACTAGAAGAAAATCTTTATGCTCTGAATTAAATACTCCAGAGCTACTGAAGATGGAGCCCTTTCTAGCATCTTAATAAATTGAGCTAGATGCTTTTAACTGAATTTAAGTAATCTTTTCTGCTGTTGCAGTGATACATTATTAATGTCCTGTTTTTCATTTATTTTACACAATTATAGTCCAATTTCAGGAAACCATTGCAGAATGATTTATACATTTCTTTAAGCTTTGTCAGGACTTCTAAGTCTGGGTTGACAGGCACAAACAGTTGTCATACATATTTTGGACCTGAAGTGTTGATCCTATATAATTTCAGTTGTGTTAATGATCACAACAAGGTAACTGGTTGTACTAGTTCATGTTCATATTTAATAACTTATTTACATCTTCAGTCTCAGACGATACACTGTTTGGTAAATTTAGGACGTCAGTACTAGAAGTTCTGATCTCCCTCTTTTTGAATCCTTCTTTTCTTTCTGTTTCTTCTATCACATATAAATCCCATAGTTTCTAACATGTAATATTGTACTTGGGAATATATATGTATAATATATGGGCCTCAGGTTGGTGGAGAGATGCCATTTTAACTCAAATGAGGTTCTAACCCACAACATTTTTACATGTTTTTGTATCTCAGTGTTATAAAATTAAATAAAACATCAGGGTAAATAATGCCCCTATGGAGAAAATTCCTGTTATTAAGGTGTGTTGTTATTGTATAGTGATGCATATGATCAAACTGACACTGAATTAAAACTGTTGATAATTAAAGAAATTCAAAGCAATAAAGTAGGGGAAGAAAATTCCATTTTTCCAGATTTTTAATTTTTTATCACATATTTATTATATAGGAAGAGAAGTGAATTGATATTGAGGCCAGTGGGGACTAGTTTTCTCCTGTCAAGGCCACAACTCCATCCAGACTGCAAGGCAATTAATATGTGGGGGTGGAATCTAAAGAACATAGGTAACATCAGAGCATTAATGCTTAAAAGGAAGGTCAAGATTGCATTTAAGTGGAAATTAGAGCATGTGCCTGAGGATACAACTTAGTCCATTGTTACTTGCTGAAATGATGATTTCCAGATGGATAGTGAGAGTGATTCAGTTTCACTTGGAATATGTTGGTTAATAAAGCTACATGAAATCTGCATCAAGTCCCCTGAAAAGTGCTCTGATAGAAAATCATCAATTATTAAGTATCCTGTTTCGATGCTGAAATATTACACCAAAGTCTGTCTGTGTTTCTGTAGTGTTCAGGTGTTACACTGAATGAGACGGCTGCAGGCATGGTAAAAGTTGACAGATGCAAATCCTATTAATCAATAATGTAGTGTAAGAAAGTAAATTGAGCAAGTGATTCACCTGGCCATTATATGCTCCTTTGTGATAGAACCAGATGGTACCAAAGGTTGTCATAAATACAGGAAGCTACATACAAATCTTTGCTATGCCAGAAGATTAAAGCTGCATGCATGAATCCTTTGAATGATCTTTCCCTTGTACAAGGGGCTACCCAAGGAGGTCTGTGTATATGTGTTATATACATATATGCTCAGAGCTGGCCTTAGGGAAAATGGATCCCTTTGGTGATCACTCCCCCCGCTGCCTCCCTCCCTGGTATCCCCCCATAAGTCTACCATGCACAGTCCCATGGGGAGACAGAATGGCATGGTGGCCAGGCAGGCTGCCACCAGCATTTCCAGCCCAGGTCCTCCTGAGCAGTGGCTAGAGACAGAGGGCAGCCTTGGCTCGACACTGCTCCTCCTGCCTAGCGTGAGGATTGCCTGGGGGTGGGGGAAGGGGAGGTGAAAGAGTGTGGGTGTGTGTGTGTGTGTGTGTGTGTGTGTGTGTGTGTGTGTGTGTGTGTGTGTGTGTGTGACAGACAGACAGAGAGATCCCACTGACCATAGCACCCTGGGCAGTTGCCCACATTGCCTACCTCTGAGTCCAGCTCTATATACAAAATCAGACTTGTGTTCCTTGATAGAACTAAATAATGTTTCAAAAGTATCTGGAGTTCCCACCCCCGAGAACTAACGAGGGTTATTGCATTTTAAAAGTTTCAAGGTTAATTACACTTTCATAAAGGCATGCCATATACAATAGGCTATTGGATATACAGCAATTTACAAATGTCCCTTAAACCAGCTGTTTTATCTCTGATGCTTATAGCTCAGTGAACATGTATTTTAGAAGATACGTTCTTGATATCTTGATAACTTGATATCAGTTATCATTGATCAATAAATCTGGAAATGTAATCAAAAGCACTAAAGGGTAAATTGCACGAGGGGGATTAATGTTAAGTCCATGCAAGTATACATTTTAAATGTGTATGTTTTTCAAATTAATTGCTGGTGCTGGACAAATCAAATTGCACACATGTATGTGTTGACTCACACAGCATAATAGTTTTCCCACCTACTATACCAAGAATAACTAATGAACCATGTAATTAACACAGCAGACATATTCTTGATAGGCAATAGTTTACAAAATTTCATGAGCATTACTTCATTTTTTCTAAAGGGTACTTCTTTAATGTAAAACCATAACTTGCCTGACTGTAATAGAGTTGAGGCCC